GGTGGGCAGATTGTTAATGAAGCTCTGTAGCCCTCCTTGGTATCGTCCCCTCTTCAATCAGATCAACTACTTTTATCTGTTATCTTTTAGACTTTTTTAAAAGGATATTATTTAAAAGGGGGAAAAAAAACTTCTAAAAGACTGAAAAGCATTGGTTCACTTGATACATGTATTCAAGGAAATCACCTTGCTGACAGTTGAGAAAACCCATGAAAATGGAAAATATACTACATTTCTTTCACTGACTACTCTTTCCATGAGTCACCTATAGTAACATTCTCAAAGACAGTGGGGAGAGCTGTATATTTGAATGTGTGAGGCAAGCACAGTGTCCTGTCTCATTTGTTTTCTATTAAAGACTTTCATTCACCACGTGGTATTTCCATTCTCTGGTCATGAGAACCTGTGGACCAGAGCCTGGCTACATTTGGGGGGAACAGGAGGTGGAAGTTTTGGGGATGGTGAGAGACAGAATTTTAATGTTTCCTAAGAGCAAGAGAAAGGGTTGCTGATCTTGCCAGTGTCATGGTGTTCACATCATAATGCTAAGTACTTTCATGCCAGGAAGCTGAAGGGGCAGGTCAAAGTTTTATAGATTTTGGCCAAAGGCTGTTCCAAGGGAAAAGTAAATGTTTAAAGATGCTGACCGTTGCCCTAACTTATTTCATTTTTTTGGTCCCATACTTCTCTCCCTTGCCCCAAATAGGGTTATCCTAGGTGCAAAATCCAGATTAATACTATAGTAACCACACAAATAGAGCACAGAGAATTGCTATTTGTTTTAGTTTTGTAGTAATGGAAAGAAAACTATACTTAGAGATGCTTATAGGTGACATAGATGATGGTATAAAAACATTCTAAAACATAGGTTATAATGAACTTCGCCCATAAAAATTTGTGTCTTAGAAGCAGAATCTAAGGAGTAACTGCATCTTTTTTAAACACTTAAGTTGACAATGTTGATTCAAAATGCTACTTACTGTCAATTTGAAAGATGGGATTCTTTGCAGTAAAGTTTGTAAAATATCCATTGCCTTATGTGAAGAAGGTTGAAGGCAGTTAATCTTAAATAGATGAGTTTGTCAAATACACACACACACACGCGCACACACACAGACACCTGTTTCGGTTTCAGAAGAGAAATTCTGGGGCCATAGGTAAAGAAATAGTGTGCATTTGTATAACACATCTCCTGGATAAGTAAGACATTTTATTAATACATATGAAAAGGAAACAGTTTAAGAATAGAGATTAACCATATAACCATACCTGGGACAAAGATCATATTAGAGGTTAGCAGATTTTCTGGACATGGTTAGAGTTGGATGTCTTGGCAAGTGGTTGAGAATGTCATTCAGAAGGTTCAGACTCATCCTTTTTTCCCTTGATATTTATACAGGAGCATCATCTTCGGTAGTGACAACCCCACTGGACTCAAACTACAGTGGTCGTTACAATAGCTTCATTACTAATTGTAAAAGCAATATGTGTTCATAATTGGAATTGTGTTTAGTGCTGCTACCCAAAGATAACCTCTCTACATACTTTTTTTTTGTATGAGTGTGTATATTATATGCATATGTAATACATTATGTAGTACAAAATATGTATATGTAATACATTTTAAAATAATGTGAATATGTGTATTAAAATTGGAATTAAACTATGCATATGGTTTTGTAAACTGCATTTTATTTCATTCGTTTCACAATTCTTCATTGCGTGCCTGCCATAACCTAGGAATTTTTCTATCCCATTAAATTTTCCTTGAAAGCATGACTTTTAATGACTTCTCAATATTTTATTATAGCATAATTTATTTAACTATTTCCTTATTGTTAGAAATTTACATTGTTTTGTTTTTTTATTATTATAAATAATATTGAAGCATTATATCTTTGCCTCTCTAATTCTTATATGTTTCAATATATGTGATTATTTCCTGAAGAAAAAAGTCCAGTAAATGTAATTATGTTTTAATAATTAATAATTCTCAATTTAATGGCACTGTGTTTGGAGAAAATTAGATGAACTTAAGCATTTATAGAGCCAAACGATAAGATATTCAGGAGAAAAATATAACACATAGTGCTGTGATTGCCTTTTCAGTAATCCAGCATTCTGGATGGTGTTTAAATGGCCTAGACTCTCCCATCACTTTAGTTTGGCTGTATCAAGGTCGTAATATAGTGAGATTGCCTGATATGTAACATATTTGTTATGACAGATAGTGCTATTATACACTGAGTTATTAATTTCTCATTACTGTTCTTGAGATAATCTCAACACCCAATTCTTATGTATAAAGCAGCTTTTAGAGCCTAATCTCGTCCAGTCTTCTGGGTCATTGATATTATAAAATTTTTTCACTGTACCATGACCCCACTGAACAAAAGAAAAATGAAACCTAAGAGAAAAATATTTCCTCCATAGTGCACAGGTATTCTATTGTGCTGCATGGTAATCAACAAGTTTAGCTTTTCTTGAATTTTGAACTATGTATGGTATGTGGTTCTTTTAGAAACACCCTGCAGCAAGTAATGGCTATAAGGTGAAAGATAACCGATATTTCTCCCTCCTGTCCCTTTCTCTTGTCTTCTGTGTGTATGTGCACACATGTGCATACATGCTCACATGTCTGTTTTTTCAGTTGTGATTGGGTTCATTTCAGTCGTTTGCAGCATCAAATACATAGCCAAAGGTGTTTAATTTTCCCATGAAATGCTTCAGAGATTCATCATATGAAATCATTGGTTTCTCTTTAGTGCTAAGTCATAGCAAATTATCATCTTTTTTTAGGTTGATTTTGTAGAGTGTTAAATGATGTTTAAATTTCTCTTAGGTATGAAGCCATGTATTTTTTTTCTCCTAATCACTTTAAATAGCAAGAACTCATCAACTGGAGTTTTTCTCCTATTTCTCCAGTCTACCCCCGACTCACGTGCATGTTTCTGCCTTTAGGTCAGTGGGAACTTTTCCCAGCAGTGTTTTCTTTTTTTCCCTTCATTCCTAATTTCTCTCAGGAACAAATGGCAGCATAGTTAAGCATTAGAAACTTGTTGCTGAAGGTGCTAACCTAAACATCAGTGCCAGGATACGACTGAGACTTAATAGACTAATTAATTTGTCTAGTGCACCCCTGACCTGGGAATTCCGTACAATGGGCTATGCTTAAGGAACTGGGAGTCTGGTATCCAAAGTAGAGAAATGCAACTTTGTGTGCTTTATATATCAACATGCAATTAATACTGGGTTTTTTAAGAAAATAGATTTTGAAAATGGAACTTTATTCCATCACATGTTTTGAAAGTACGATACTGCAAGATTCTGTGTGCCTTTTTTGTTTCAGTTTTCTCCTTTTACATTTTATAGCAGTACTAAACAGAGCCCGCACATTATTTGATCCAAATGTGTTGCTGACCTCCAGAGGAGCCCAATTATATAGAATGCCACGGTTTCTGCATTAGCTATTCTAATGTAGTATGTTCTCATAACTATAGTAACCCTATGGAACAAATAGGAACTTGAAGCTTGAATGACATTTTCAAAAGTGTTTGCATTATGAATTCCTGACTGTGGTATTCATGTTTCTTTCAGTAAGAAGATTAGTTTTATTTCCTTTTATATTCATTTTCTCACTTCTTCGTTTTGTAGACAGTTTAAATATACTTCAAGGGCAGTTAACATTTGACTGCCTCTGAATTCATGGCACTGGATAGAAGCCGAATTGAATAAATCTATTCATATTAGTTTGTCAGTATATGGGTTATGCATCTCTCTGGATCTTGTGAACTCGTAGAGGTACCAAATGAATGCTTTCCTGTTAGGATTTTATTTAGAACAGAGTTTTAATATTTTGGTAGTTTGTGGATTTGAAAGCATTCATCAGACCACCAAATGTCTGTTGAGCATATGGCAAGCACTCTTCTAGGCACTGCTGATAAAGTGGTGAACAAGACTAATGGTTCCCAGCTCTGCTGAGGCTTTTAGTCCAGTAGCGGGAGTCACACACACTACAGTAGTCTCCGCTTATCCGAAGTTTCACTTTTCGTGGTTTCAGTTATCCACGGTCAGCCACCTTCCAAAAATATTAAATAGAAAATTCCAGAAATAAAAAGAATTTATTAGTTTTAAATTGTGTGCTGTTTTGAGTAGTGTGATGAAGTATCATGCTGTCCTGCTGCATCCCTCCTGGGATGTGAATCATCCTTTTGTCCAGAGTATTCACACTGTAAATGCTACCCACCCATTAACCACTTAGTAGCCATTTCAGTTATCAAGGGGAGACCACATTCATGTAACTTTTATTCTGGTCTATTGTTATAATTGTTGTATTTCATTATTAGTTATTGTCGTTAAGTTCTCACTGTACCTAATTTATAAAGTAAACTTTATTATAGGTATGTTTGTATACCTATAAAACACAGAACTATATACATAGCTCAGGCATCCACTGGGAGGTCTTGGGACATATCTGCTGTGGATAAGAGGGACTACTATAAAAACAAAGAGTAATACTATAACTCAAGACAAGACTGCTTATTTTTCACACAGTGAAAC